TTCAACACATTTACTTTAGCCATTGTTTCAGCTATTTCCGTCTCCAAATCAAGCTGCTCTTTCTTTTTTCTAAGCTGCTCCTCTTGCTCTTCCAATGCATGTTTGTTCTTCAACAGCCTTTGGCGAGCAATGAGCGCTGCCATGTCTGCCTCAGCTTTAATACGTGCTGATGAGGTAGATGAAACACTAGACTTACTTCCTGTTGAGCTTCTTGCCTTTGTGGCTCTGCTTGCAACATTAGAGACACTGTCATTCGGTTGAACATCATCCATTGCAACAGAGCTTCCCACCTTATCTTCTGGCGGATTTGGAACACAAGACTGACCTTCATTAATTTGTGCTTCAAGTGGTTCAACACAAGGTGGATGTGACTGAGGGGGTATTGTCAGAGCGTCACCTGTGACTATCTGTGCTGCACCTTGTTTAGTTTGCCTACCTACCTCAGAAAGCCATCTTTTTACATCCTCCATGAATCCACTGTTATACGCCAGTATGCTCGAAAACCAAGCATTTTGTTTTCCTTGTTCTTCTTGAGGAAGCAGCTGAATCACAGCTTCATGAAGTTGGCCTGCGTCCTCAAGCAACACACATGCATTTTCAAGCTGAGACTGGACACTTGGAGCATTGTCGTCAATTTGCATAAGCCCTTTAATTGCCTTTATTGCAACTTTAATTTTGTTAACTTTAGCTTGTCGATCTGCTTGAAGTCTTTCAATTTGATTTTGCAATGCTTTCACAGAAGGTCTTGATGTTCTTTTATTTTCATCTCTTTGACTGACATCAGGACCAGACTTTAATCCACTTGAATCCATATTTACTTGTGAATGAAAAATAATAATAATACCAAATCCATCCACAACCAAATGCCATCATCACTTCATACAGCGCTTTAATGACGTCACTTTACATGGGGGGGAAAAAAGGCATTGGCCACACAGCAATTATCCAAATGATAAACCAACAGGCAAATAAGTCAAATTTATTCCCCCTAAACTGCCTAGTAGAAAGCTAAACTATCCGTCTCACCCTAGGCTTCTGTGCATACTAGCGGTGGGTACTTATGCACCTAAATACCGTTAGTCTTGAACAAGACAAACAGCCTTAATACAAGAACTACGGCGGCACTCCCCAGCCGAAGGCTCCAACCGCATTGATGACACGAAAATAACAAACTGCTTTAAAACAAGAAAACAGTACAACCACCTTCTGTGGATATACTGCTAAAGCCTACCAGGGGAATAGATTAGCTTATAAATAATAACCTGTTGCGTAGCATGTGTGTGTAGCCATACCTTATTTCAGCTGCTGTAATGAACGAGCCATAGTAGGCGGGCAGGTGGCCGAATGAATGAAACACTGGCGATGAATGAACTGATGCGCTCCACTCAGCGCGCTCCAATTTCCTTGATTGAAGCGTCCAAAATGATCCCAGAAATCCAGCATCAACGAAACTTTCCGTGGATCAACACTCCAGAACGATTTCTCTGTTGACTAATATTGCGGCTAAACTGGCGATCACTTAAAGTTCAATGAGCCGCAGTGGGCTAAATACGGAAGATAATTGTTGACGCGCACAATAAACATCCATTCTTGTTTCTGAGGCTCTGTCACATTTATTACTTCATCATAGCGATGCAGCTCCAATAACTTACAGACGCAATATTAAAGATAACAAAGCAAAGCACACAGATTACATCATGTAATGTTTCAAAGCGAAGCGGTCAACAGAGAGTTTCACTTCCGACATTCACCCCACACCATGGTCCAAAGCCAAACGAATAGGTGAACAGGTGAGTGGAGTTAGAAATAATCTCGGAGTACAACCCACAGTGACACACCCTCCACCAAAGTGCCAATGCAGTGTGCCCACACAAACCACGCCTGTGAATATACAAACTTACATGTATGGCTCCTACAGTTTGGTATCTTCAATAACAATAATAACAAACATAAAGAATTGTATATGATTTATCTTTATATCCATAAATCCAGATGTATCCATTCCAAACCTTATTTTATAGAATTTGAAAATGAAGCAAACAGAACATTCAAACTATTTCAACTCATAAAATAAGACAGATTTGTACTTTGTTAATATTCTTTATTAGATCATCCCTCTCCTATCATATTGTGTAGTATTAATAGTTTCTCTGTCTCTATAAGACGTCTACTATCAACAAAGATAATAAACTATTCAGAGATATGTAACATGATTTCGTATGTAACTTCCTGGTTGTTAGCTTCAAATAGAGCTGATGTCACTTCATGCAGCGGCGGAGGTTTAGCTCAGTGGTTACTTCCTAACGCTCAATATGTTCTCTCGCCCCACCGGTCCGCGGGCCCGGGGTTCGAACCACGGGTGCTGTCCTCTGTCTTTTCCCTGTCCGTCTGCTGTCCTCCTCATGCCTCTGGGTGTTTTATATACCCATCGGTTTGAGGGTTAGATCCAGGTGTTTTAAACAAACCATATTCACATGTAACGTGTTATTGTGCTGCACATATTGTCACGTCAGGTACTCAGTCTTAACAGTCGTACAAACAGACAAACCTTCAGTCAGTTCAGTGTCAGGTACAGGCTGCGCCCACACACTCGGACAGTTCAGCCATGGCCTACAGCCCGTTAGATGGCGCTCTCAACTCACTGAGATACAGTTCATTCGGAAAGTATCAGACCCCTTCACTGACACGTTATGATGTTGAAAATAATTTCACTCATTAATCATAACTAGTGATGGGAATTCCGGCTCTTTGTGGAGAGCCGGCTCTTTTGGCTCGGCTCACTAAAAAGAGCCGGCTCTTTCGGCTCCCAAGTGGCTCCTCAGATTTTTTGTTACTTAAATTAATTTATTACCAAATTATGTGTAAAATGAATAACTAATGTAAAAAAAAAAAAAAAATAAAAAAAAAAACATATGTATAGTATGTATATGGCTTTATTAATACACTTAACATAACGAATTTTGATTTGTGAAAAAACACAAAATCAACTAAACATCACTCAACAAAATATAAATTAAAATGTGCAACCATGTACAGTGAAAAACAAAACACAAAATGCGAGTGTCTGTAACCCCTCCCCTCCCCCTCCTGCTCAGTGTAGTCACACAGACGCTGCCACAGCCTCACATGTTAACCAATGCGGCTTTAAAAGACAATTAAAATAAAAAAAAAATCGCTCTCGATCGCGAGCCGGCTCCCGTCGTTCACTTCAAAGAGCCGGCTCTAATCTGGCTCTCGTTCGCGACCGACCCATCACTAATCATAACGACAAAATGAAAATATAATTTTAGACATTTATGCAAAAAGGAGAAACTGAAATGCAGAGGTGGACAAAGTACACAACTCCATTACTGGAGTCAGAGTATAGATCCTCCTGCTCAAAAGTTGTTTAGATTTTTATTTGAGTTGAAGTGCTAGAGTGTTTGATTGAAAATACTGAAGTCTTCCATATTTCCATATTTAAGTCTAGTCGTGGTAAACAAAACAAACGAATCTTTATTTGTAAACCTTCAAACACAGACTTCGGATCAGAGCATGGTCTCTGGTGAAGAATCTTCTGCCTCATCTTTATCTCACGTCGCCATCGTTGGGACACTGACAGGTTCAAACATGGCTGACAGTGGAGGAGTTAGCTGTGATTGGTTTTTCTCCTGTGATGAACAAAGTGTATGGTCTATCACGTTTTCCAAAATATAAGTTCATTCAACTGACTAAAAACTGCTTCCAAGTAAGAGTACTTCATAGAAACGTAGTGACGTCAAAAGTACAATATTTGTCTTTAAGTGTAGTGGAGTAAAAGTCAGAGAAAAAAAACTCAAGTAAAGTACAGATACTGGAAAATATACTTTACTGCCCACCCCTAAAGAAATATCACATTGACATAAGTATTCAGACACTTCACTCAGTTCTTAGTTGAAGCAGCTTTGTCAGTGTCACAGCCTTCAGTCTTCTTGATCTGACATCTCAACCTTTACACATCTGGATTCATGGATTTTCTCTCATTCTTCTCTGCAGGTCCTCTCAGGTTCTTTCTCCAGATGTTGGACTGGGTTAAGGTCAGGGCTCTCACTGGTCCACTCATGGAAATTCAAGCCACTCCTGTGTTGTCTTGGCTGAGTCGAGGGTCATTGTCCTATTGGAAGGTGAACCATCAGGTTCTTAGTCTCCTCTCTTCTCCCTGATGTCCCAGTTAGTCCAGATCCAGCTCTAGAAGAGTCCCAGTTGTACCAGACTTCATGTCAGAATGATGGAGACCACTGTTTCTCATTATGGGTTATTGAGTGTAGATTGATGAGGGATAAAATGATTTGATGAGATGCAACAATGAGAAAATGTGTATAAAAAGTCTAAAGACTTTCTGAATTAACTGTGTGATACAGTATCTGAGTTAAGTGTCACATACTGGGATTGATTAAGCGGTAACAGGATTATAATCACAATAATTATTTTATATTAATTTAATATCATCCATCATGACATTTATTATGCATCAATACAAATATTTATACTTTGTAACTTTGATGTGGAAACATCAAATTTCATTCACTCTGTGCTTGAGCCAGTGTGATCAACAACACATCTGAGTGATGTAGAAGAGATGTGGATGAGATTCACCATCCACCAGCTTTACACACCTGTAGTGACTGTATACTCACATCTGAAAGCACATGCTGACCAGTTTGATCAGAATGACCACAACTTGTGAGGTGACCTCACCTGTTTTACTTCCTGCTCCTGCAAACTCACTGCAGTGGATTTTAATTGGTTTGGAGAATATTTTAAAATAAAAACAGCTGCGCAATTATTTCTTTGATTAACTTTCTAGTAAATACACACACACACACACACACACACACACACACATATATATATACATACATATACACACACACATATATATGACACATTTTAGTGCTAATGCTAACTGCTAAGACAGACGCAAAAGGAACCACCATTCATTAGTGAGGCTGATGTCAACAGAGAGACACACATACACAACACACATATGAACTAGGATTTATTGTTTCTCTTCACAGCCATGGATCAATCTGCACAAAGCTCATGTCACAGCACTACGTTCACTGTGTCTGCTGAATATGTACAGCTAACGCTTTAGCTTTCCTATGAAATATCTATTGAAGCAGCACTATTGTCACACAGAGCGCAGGAGGCCGGGGTGTGTTGTGACAGTCACAGGAAGCACACTGTAAAGTTCCACTATGGAGCACAGATGGATAGGAAGACGGCAACAGTAGAAAAAGAGTCATTACAAAGTGCTGTTCTTCACTTCTGGGAGACCTCATCAAACTTGGGCTCTAAAAAAACAAAAAAAACAAAACAAAAAAAAAAAACAAAGCAGGGCTGTTAGCTTAGTGCATGTTTGATTATGTAGTAACGTCACAGAATATTCAACCTACATCTAGATATTGACAGATTTAATATTGTCTAAAAATTAAAACATCCATGAAAAAGACCTCACAGTGACACATGCAGAGGGAACTTCTCAGCCCATTAAATTTCAGTGTTTCAAGGAGAAAGGTCAAACTGTTACTATGGTGTAACAGCAACCACTGTGGAACACACATGTGAACAGTCAGCTGTAGTATGAGTGAGCTGCTCCAGACAAAATGAATGGACAGACCAAGTGATCCATTCTTTATACAACTACAATCAGGTCACACTGTGGAAGATGGGTCCAATTAAATCTTGGTTGTGATCTGGGACAGATTATACAATATCACACTGGGCAGTGAACAGGAGATGAGCCTAAGACCATAGCACCATACATTTCATGCATCTGTGCTGCTCTTACATTTAGAAACTGCAGCAAAGAATAAACCATTTTTGGCCACAGCTGACTCTTCACTGCAGGTCAGGATGGAGGAGGTGACCTAACAACTGGCTGGTGTATTCTGATTGGTTGGTGTGTACACATAAGTTGTTGCAACAGCTTCTCACACTGAGATTTTAAATTTCACCTGTCACAGATCTTCTGAACCACAGCTGGACTCAGACAGACCAGTATCACAGTTTACAGGGGCCTTTTTACATTATCCTACAGATTACTGTGGGTTCATGTAAAGTACAGTTTGTTGCTGCCATGTAGTTTATGAAAACAGGAAGTGCACCTGTAACCTTTCAGAATATAGAAAACTACGATTGTTCACAGACAACCCACACGTTTGAACAGCTTATTAACTTACCTGTGAATTTGAACTCTGGGAAAGATGTGAGGTCTCCTCCACCATAGAGTCTCTGAAGCTTTGCTATTTCCTCTGCCAAAGCCTTCTCATACTCTGAGCCTGCATCGACCAGCCCCCCAGCAGCCCTGCAGAGGATCACACATCAGCAATGTCAGTTCTCCAGATTTGATGCTTTTTATACGCATGAAATCATCTTTCAAAATCATCTAATCAGTCAAATCTCCGATTCTTTCACAAACTAAGATGGAACTTCATTTGACTCTTTCATACACCACCTGCTGCCAGAAACAGTGAGCAGCAGGGCCCAGGACAGAAGTCTTTGGACAGTTTTTCAGGCTCTCTGCTTCAGCACATTCAGTTTGAAATTAAGTAATGGAGACACCATCAAAGTTTCAGCATTAATTTGAGGTTTACATCAATATATAAAGTTTAATCCTCCACAGAAAATAGTCCAACAAATGCACTGTTTCATCTTGTCTGAGTAATGTTTGATAAAAACTACACTGACCAGGGAGTGACATTTTTAAAGAATTTAAAGAATCTTCAGGAGGAACCAACAGTCCACACAATCATTGTCAGTGATGATGCAAAATGATGGTGAATCATCAGTGTGTAATATCTCACTTCACAGCTCTCTACTGAGTAAACTGTCTGATACATAGGGAGTAGTGAATGAAGGAGTGACTGCAGACACAGCCAGGCTCTAACATCGGTTTAAACACACTCAATTTAAGTTTAAGTCCTTTTATTAGTTTCTAAAAGTTAAATCTTCCACATCACGTGATCTTATCACACAAACACTATTATAAATATCAAACTGATGGAATATTTTGTTTGTAGTTTATATACAAGTTTGTCATCTGCCTCAGTGCTGTCCGTGTCAGTCACGCATTAATACAATATAATACTTAAGTAAATCATTAGTGTAATCAAAGACAGGTTAACACTGCAATTTAATGTGATGTAATACAGAAGAGCAATAACAACCTGCCGCTGAATCACCTGTTTGGAAACCTGACAGATCATCATACAGATGAACCCTGTGCTGGTTCTGGAAGGGTAAACAACTGTTAGTTGTGGGGCTACTGTTGTTGTTTACACCCCCAATGAAGCTTTCTTCATGATCTCAGGACCTGGACATGCTGTATGCTGATGTTAAAGAGGCCTGGAGATTCTACCTCACATATTACTTTATGTACATGTTTTCTATTCACTTCCTGTGTATTTATTAATATCGTTAACATTCTATAGTAGTTTTTACTTCCTCTCTCCTAACTGTGTGTTACCTGCAGGGATGATTAAAGTCTAAACCTCTGCAGATCTAACAACTGTGAGCTTTCTGAGATGACATGCTGAACACAGGTGGAGGTGCTGAGACTTACTGGCTTTTTGTGGAGTATTCTCGTATGGAGTCCAGGAAGAGCTTCTGAATGGGGTCCATAGGAGCTGAAAGTCCCAAAGAGGAAAAAAAAAACTAATGAATTTCTCTTCAGAGAAAAAAAGACTGTTGGACCAGGATCATGCGTTTGGATCTCATCTGTCCATATGGCTACAACACTTCTAGTTTAACTGTAACCCTCATGCGCAAACCAGCACCTAGTACAGGTGGAGAGTGGGCAGCTACAGGGGTCAGACAGGAAAGAACAAGTGAAAGGTCAGGTCAGTCGACAGGTTAAACAGCTGCTGTGACAGCTCATGCTAGGCTACACAGGTAGAGTACTGCTGGAAGATGTAGATCTCCAACAGTCCAGTCATTCACAACATTTATCAGTGAAGAACCAATAAAGTCCACACAGCAACCAGGCTGCAGCCTCACACTGCTGCTACCCTGAAGGACAGGGAGGTTTACATTTATTCTTTACCAAGATTTACCCAACAACCTGATCAAACATGTAGGGACTGAGCACATGTTACTTTACCATGGGACTCACAAATGAGTGAGGACTGTAACAGACTAGGAGGAGGAAGAGAAGGAAAGAAGGCTGAGGTAAAAACAAAAAGGAAAGGTGACAGCTGCAACCTTAACAAACACTTTCACCCTTGGAAACAGTATCTGTGTTAATTACTAAAGGTAATGTTAAACACCAATACACAAACAAACAAAACAGTCCCATTAAGTCACAACACAGGAAACTGGTGGTGCTGACAGGAGAGAGACTAGGAATCAAACTGTGGATTTTAAAACCAAAAAACAAACGTTTGTAAATTTGACGAGAAGAAATAAAATAATGAGTAGCAAGGCAAAGAACAGACCAGTGACATGTGCAGAGAGAACAGAGGTGAGTGCAGTAACAGGCAGGTGAGAAGAGAAACTAACGTCCAGAAATAAAACAAGACAAAATGCAAAGGTAAAATGCTGTGTAGTTAACACATGCAGCTAGGACAGCTGAAGCAGCACAGAGTGACAGTGAGTTAAACTATAGTTGCATGACAGAGGACCGGGGGGCTGTGTGCTTGGTGAAAATGGCATGAAGGAGGGAGGGTGTTTGGGACTATCAGAAACAAGCTGTACAAGGCTAGAACAAAACATGTGTTTGTGATGTTGGGTATCTTTACACTTTATCCTTTAACACTCATCACAAAAGACTACTGTGCATCTTTATCAATGGTGATGAGAATGACTGCTGGTAGACTGCAGGATCCACAGAGGAAAAGGTAAGGACTGTGGGGGAGGGGGGTTGTAGTGTGTACCCTCAGATGGTTCAACTGGTTCAGCTGGAGCCTCTGCCTGCAGCTCCTCTCCTGCAGCTTCAGCTACGACTGGAGCGTGGTCCACCAGCTCCTCGGCGCTCTCCACAGGGGAAGAAACTTTAGCTGCAGTCTCTGCAGCCACGTCAGCAGCAGCAGCTTCAGCCATACACTCTGGGGCCACGTCTACAGGTGCCGCTTCAGCAGGGACAACTTCAGGGGTTGTTTCTCCAACTGGTGCTGCTTCAACAGCAGGGGCTTCAGGAGCCACTTCGTCAAGAGGTTCTGCTGTAGCAGGTTCTGGGGCTGGTGCTGCTGCAACAGCAGGGGCTTCAGCTACAGCCTCTGCGACCACAGTGTCAACAGGAGCTGCAGTTGCCTCTGCAGCAGCTTCAGCTTCAACAACAGGTGCGGCTTCAGCAACAGGTGCGGCTTCAGCGGCAGCTTCAACAACAGGTGCGGCTTCAACAACAGGTGCGGCTTCAGCGGCAGCTTCAACAACAGGTGCGGCTTCAGCGGCAGCTTCAACAACAGGTGTGGCTTCAACAACAGGTGCAGCTTCAGCGGCAGCTTCAACAACAGGTGCAGCTTCAGTAGGTGCAGCCTCTGCAGCAGGTGCAGCTTCAGCAGGTGCAGCTTCAGTAGGTGCAGCTTCAGCAGGTGCAGCTTCTGCTGCTGGGGCAGATTCAGAAACTGCTTCGACAGTGGGAGGTGCTTCAACAACAGCTTTGGCTTCAGCTGCTGAGGCTAGGTCGGAAATAACTTCAGCAGTGGGAGAGGGCTCCACAACTGGGGCGGTGGCCTCTATCACAGGGGTAGTTGCCACAGTCTCAGGTGCAGGAGCAGAGGGTGTTGGCTCTGCGGGTGGTTGAGCTGCAGAAGCTGCTGCTGCTGCAGCGACGGCCACTGGAGAAACCTCTTTCTTGGGCAACTCAAAGGCCTTGTGCTGGACAAGTTTCTCTATATCGAAGTACGTTTTAGCCTTGTTTTTGTCTAGGACGGAGGAGGGCAAGCAGACAAGATGCATTATTTTTTATAAAACATGTATATGGTTAAAAGACAAAATGTCCACTGAAAACCCACATTTAACAAAATCCCAATTTTAAAAGAATATATCCTGGAGGGAGGTATCTGCTACACGTACAGGAAAATACAAAATAAATTTTAAAAGAAAGATCACAGGCCTATCTGAGATACAGCAAATGTATGTATAGAAAATGTGAGAAAACTTGGACCATAACATCTTTATATTGAGATAAAAGTAATATATACAAATCACAAGGATTGGTCAGGTGATGGGACAGTCAGGGAAAAACCCATTTCAAAACCTGTGGAGGGAAAGCAACAAGTCAGAATGATGATCTGTGGTGCATCACAATTTAAAATTTTCAAGTACAGTGGCAAGAGCTTGGTTTTTCTAATTTAACTGGTGATAAATCTGATCTAATCTTAATCTAAATCACAGATGTAGACAAAGCGTCTCTGAGCTGATATCACACACAGTTATAATCTGTGTCTTTGTGTCATTAAATACAGTTCTGGTGGAAATGGTGAACCTTGGATTTAATAACTGGTTGAACCCCCTCTGAAACCAGTTCTTCCAGCTGATCACACCTGCTCAATGTTCAGGAGGAAATAGGAAGTTTGGAAATTCTTCCTTATAGAGCTGCTTCAGTCAGACATGTTCCCAGGATGTCTGGTGTGAGCAGGCATCTGAGCTCAGTCCACAGCCTCTCTTCTTGATTCAGGTCTGGGCTCTGACTGGAGGATGTCCTTTGATGTTTAGGGTCATTGTCCTGCTGCATCAGCATCTTCTCCTGATCTTCAGCAGGTGGACAGACACCCCAACATTATCCTGGAAGAGACCTTAATAAACTTGATGATGAGGAGCTGTCCAGGTTCAGAGGCAGCAGAGACCACCTCTCGGGGGATGTTTTCATGTTGGTGTACAGAGACCTGTTTACACCACAAATACAGTGCATTCAGAAAGTCTTCATACCACTGCAATATTTTCACATTTTGTTGGAGATTTTCTGCCATGCGTGCATTTACGTGTATCCATTTGCCCAACACTTTTATCCAAAGCGACTTACAAGGTACTCTCTGAAGAGATGAGTCTTCAACAGATTTTTGAAGATAGAGAGGGACGCCCCTGCTCTGATAGATTTGGTAGCTTGTTCCACCATCAGAAAACCACAGACCAGAACAGTCTGCACTGAGACTTTCTTGTGTGCAGGGATGGTGATGCCAGACAGTGGCTGAGAAAAAGCATAAGGCTAAATGAATGAGTTCAAGTAGATGGAGCAACTCACTCTGAAGGCAGCATTAGTGACTTGAATTTGATCCAGATGGCCATGGGTAGCCAGTGTAGTTTGAGGAGCAGAGTGACATGTGCCCTTTTATGCTGATCAAAGACCAGATGGGCTGCTGCATTCTGGACCATCTGTAAGGGTTTCAGTGTGCACAGAGGAAGGCCTGCCAGAAGAGCATTGCAGTAGTTGAGGTGAGAGAATCATGGCCTGAGCTGGGTGGTGTACTGAGTCAGGTAGGGCCTGATTTTTCTGATGTTGTATAGAGCAAAGAAACGACCAAGAGATGGATACAACATGAGAAGGAGAGCTGGTCATCAAACATGACACCCAGGTTTCTCGAGGCCTTGGTTGGGATAAGAGATGAAGTGGTGATTTTGATATCACAAGTAAGAGACTGACTGGCCGGGATGACTAAGAGTTTAGTCTTAGCGAGGTTTAGTTGAAGGTGGCGTTCCTATCTATGCGGAGATCCACAGGCCGAGATCCACACAACTGCCACTGAGGATAAGCTTTGTCTGGACAGTCTGACATAAAGCCCAGATCAGTGGAGAGCTGTAGGGATGGTTGCCCTTCTCGAAGTTTCTGCATCTTCACACACGATCTCTGGAGCTCAAAGAGACCACCAGGGTCCTGGTGTCCCCTCTTCTCCCTGATGTTAGTCCAGGTCCAGCTCTAGAAGAGTCCAGGTTGCTCCAGACTTCTTCATGTCAGAATGAGGGAGATCACTGTTCTTCTCAGGAACCTTCAGTGCAGCAGAAATGTTTTTGATCCTCGACACAATCCTGTCTCTGAGCTCTGCAGCAGTTTCTTCCTCCTCATGGTTTCTGCTCTGATCTGCATCGTCAGCTGTGAGATCTGATATAGACAGGTTTGTGTCTGTCCACATCATGTCCAATCAGAGTTTACCACAGGTGAACTTCAGTCAAGGTGTAGAAACATCCCAGAGATGATCCAGAGAAATGGAGGAACCTGAGCTCAACTTCTAGTGTCATAGTAAAGTGTCTGAACACAAGTAGCCAAGAACTGAATCATCTCCATCAGTCCAGTCAGAGAAACTGTCTATAAATGAAGAGCTAAACTCTGAGACCCTTTCAGCTTCATGCTCATCAACTCTTCTTCATCCTCTGAGAGTCTCTGAGATCTTTGTTGTGAGGCCTAGTTCACATCAGCTGATGTTTCTCTAAATGTGTGAGTGTTGTTTATAAGTCAAAGTGTCTCGAAGCCACACCTCCACTGACTGACTGACCTCCACTGACTGACTCACTCCTGACTCCAGTTAGATTCTGTTCATGTCATTAGCTGAGTGGTTCACACACCGTTTCAGCTACACTGAGAATGTTTGAATCATGTTTTCAATATGGACAACACAATGATTTATGTTATTAGTTTAAATTGTAACTTCAGTGAAGATCTGATCAGCTTTTAGGACAAATTCAAACATGAATGAGTTAAATCTAAAAAAAGGTTTTTCTGACTTTTTCTTGCCACTGTATCTGATACCTACTCATCAACCAACCTGAGTGTAACTTATTTTACATTGATCCTTTGTAAAAAAGTAAAGTAAAATCACATCCACATAGACCTGCCAAATTCTGAGGTTTGAAAAAGCAGCAGTTACTCATAGCAACAGTTTTTTTTCATTAATACAACTGCTCTCTGGCCCTGTACCCATGACCCAGCAGCTGCTGTATGTTACATGTGTGAGACTGTACTATGACCTGGGACATAAGGACTGGAATCTCATTCCTGACCTTCGTTGCATGTCTCCACACTACAGTGTCCAACACAGAAGCTGTATACTGGATAATTGTGTTCTGTGTCAGCAAAATATCTATTCTTCATGGTTTCCATGCAACATACACAACTACCACACATTTAAAAATCATATTTTACTTTAGTAAATCTGGTCTACCCTCAGAAACCTTTGCCTAATTCAGTCACACAGTCATGACAGTAGAAGAAAATATATCATCAGTGTTACAGTACGGTAACATGAGACTGTTCAAAACTGAGATTCTTCCCTGACCCACACAGTGTTCAAACCTTCTGTGCATTATCAGGGCCTGTATTCACAAAGCATCTTAAGGCTAAAAGTATCTCCTAACTTGATGATTTAGGAGAAATTCAGCTCTCTCTCTTAGCGCTAAAAGTAGCACCTAAGTCTGGGAGAAGTAAGAAGCAGTCAAGACTCACTCACTAAGACCCAATCATAAAGAATCTTAAAGAGCTGCTGTCATTCTACATCGCAGTGTTTTGGAAACATTAAATTATGCTGAATTACTTAAAAGAAACGACTCAATCACGAGGGAATAATGATTGCTGTGGAATTTGTGAGGGATGCAATAACATCTCCTACCAACTGAAACAACCTGATCAGTGTGGAAATTAAGTGTTTGGCAACACTGTGTTACTTGGCAACAGAGAAAAGCTGATCAATTCACCAAACAATAAATGCACTCCGACATCATAGGACAGCTTCATGGTCGGTCTACCTGGTGTGATCGGTGCCATAGACGGAACGTATGTAAAAATGATTGCACCATCACAAGACGAGGAGGTATTTGTAAAAAAGGAACACAAAATCACAGACGCTGTCTGTACAGTTGTAGACACTGTTGTACAGTGACCATTTTTTCTTTCACCTTCACCTGTTTACATTTGATGAATGTTCTTCTGAGTCTGAAGAAATTATCTTCAGTTGATGACTGATCTGACAGCTAAAGAGCAACTGGTTTTACATGATGTTTTAATCTGGTCTACAAGTTTAGTCCTGGAGGGGTTAGACCAAGGTCATACTGCTGTCACACTGATTCCAGCAGTATGTGTGCATCTGTCTGATCACATCTGACATCAGTCCCACACACACTGGGATGTATTTTAAGTAAAGGGGGGCTTCCCTGAGTACATGCATGTATCAATGTTCAGAATAAACAACAGACAGATGAACATCTTCTTTAGTTAAATGTGAAACTTGTGTTAATCATTAGCTGTCATTATGGATATAATCACAGATTTAAACCTGCAATGATTTCAGCTGCAGCTGACTGAGTCAGAACTGATCAAAAAGTCTTTAACCTACAGGATGAACACACCCTGACTGACTGCCTCTTTGTTTTGTTTTATTACATTATTAATAATGTGTCATGGGTCAGATTTGCCATCTGCCTCTCTTCACCTCCACATGCTGAGTGTGTGTTAGTAGCTGCTCTGTGCACTACAAAATAAAGAAACACTGAATTAACAGCAGAAAGAACAGTGTTGTTTCTGAATATATATGCTCTAGTGTGTGTACAGATAACCTGTGTCCCTTTTCCCCATACAGCCTGTTTTGTTGATTTTAGAGCTCCTCTAAACTTGAAGGATAAACGTGTTTGGTCCTGACATGACTGTCTTCACCTCTTAAACACGTTTATCCTTCAAGTTTATCATGATTACACCACAAAAGAATAATACACCTGAACAGAAACTGTTAAAATCTTTTTCTATCAGGGGTTACTTAAAACAGTTTCTACTGTTTCTTTTTGGCCAGCAGGGGGAGCTGCAGCCCTAAAAGAATCCTGCACTTGTGCTTAAGTGCAGGATTTTCTGATGCAGAACACTTCAAATCAGGTGCAGAAGACCAAATATAGTTTGCAAGGACAGGAGAAGAATATGAATAAATGACATTACACATAAGGGGAGTGAAAAACAACATCTGCAGACCAGCTACAGGTGGGCTTTTAATCTCCGGCACTGTGTGTGTGTGTTTTAGTGAGACATCTCAGACTGACTACACACTGGAGCAGTGCTGTAAACAGGAGGAGTGTGATGGATCTGAAGACAGGGACATGTCTTTAAATGTCAGAGGGAGCAGATAAGTTCACTATGAAGTATATCCATCTTCTTCATAAGTTCATGCCTTACATATACAAAGTGAATAATTTCTTCCAAACAAACATACAGTGATGTGCTGATGCTCAAGACCTGAAAGGGTTGAAGTATAGATAAATACAACTTTCACTGACTCTGAGGCCTGACATGTTTCCTCCTCCAACTGATCAGTGACACACTTTGGGCAGAGCTGGTGAAGAATCAGCAGGAGATTATAGCAGTGACTGTGAGACCTACCTGAGCTGTTCTTTTTAGATGACTTCTTGTTGCCCCCGGATTTTGTGCTAAAGGCTGCAGCTGCAGGTGCTCTGCTGAGAATACTCCAACTCTCAGAATGCAAACACTACACACACATACACATACACACACACACACACACACACCAGTGCTTAATACTGGGCCAAATGATTCTACACTCTGCTGCTCTGTCACTGAGCGCATGACTGAGTAGGACCAGGACCTGCAGGGGTTTGAAACTTGTCTGACTGCTGCAAAAACAAGCAGAGGTTCAACTAAACTGCAGGTATAAGGAAGTGACCATTTAAGGTCAACCCCACACCAGTCATTCAGAGGGATGTCATATTTTATTATTCTCAGAAAACAGATGGAAATTCAACAAAAATGATCCATCTAACCATTCATTAATTTTTGTAAACAAATAGTCACTTGGTTTCACATTGTAAATGTAAATGTTACCTATGCAGTAACTGGCTCCTTCTCAATAGGTGGTATATTCACCTAAATAAACCACCAATCTTACAAAACATGATTTTTACCCTCTTCAGTATCACATTACTCTGACCCACAGTGCTGCCTTCATTACATCTGACATGGTGATAGACTTGGACTCTGCTATGATAAGTGACTTGTTCAGGACAGAAACTGGGTCCAGACTAAACCACAGATGTAGTTTAAACTACAGTGGGTTTAAGGGAGAATGTGATTTGAACCTGTTCCTAACCTTAACGAGCTGCAAAGCTAATGACAGAGAAACAGCCCCAAGGTGTGTCTGATTTTTAATCCAATCAAATGGGCAACGTGATTCGCAAGTCATGAACAGTGACCTTCTCCTGACAGTGAGCACATAAACACTTCTTTACACCTCAAGATGGACTGAACTTTTAAAAACAACTTCTATATGTCTGCCTCTGATTGGACATGATGTACTATTTCTGCCTCTAGTCTCTTCCTGTATGTACACTCTGTCTCATCAGACCATTGTCTGTCTTTGATAGTCCACTTCTTGCTTTTACATAAAACACATCAGATTGACAGAGCACATGAAGCACAGAAACACCTCTGCTCTGTTTCTGAGACTGAATAAAGATCAATAACAACATTTCACCTCTCTAGTAGCTTCAAGGTAAGAAAAACACCTGATTATCACACAGTGCCTGTGTGTGGTACAGCTACTTGTTCCAGCTCCACACTGAAGCTACAGGACCTGAGTTTTCAGACGTGATATTTCTGTGGCCAATATGAAACCAAACTCCAGCCAGTTTTTTGTCTTTTTATGTATCCTCTGAAATACTGGGATCTCCACTAGAGTTTAAAGTGAAATTCTGTGGATTTGAAAATTGCCTGAATGCACAGGCTGTGTTAGTACTGAATGTTCCACTGGTACGTCAGAGGTTACAACAACACGACTTTAATCCAGTCTTAACACAAAACTGACTCTTCCAAGTACCATTTTTATGCATGGACTAACGTAATCAATGAATGTGTATTGGTGAAGGTAACTTAACCCTGCACATACACACCCCTGCTCTTCATATGAATATCACAGAGTCAGATTCCTCTGCAGCTCAGTGCTGGAGCTTCAGTTAGCAGGCCTGGTGTCTGGTTTGAGCCTGCTCCACTGAGGTGTGCAGTCAGTTCACTACAGTTTAGAACAGGTCTGTGCTTTAAGGTAAGAATTCACCAAGTCCTGTTTTCATTTAAAAAGTACCATTTAAAGAATTAAAGAAGGCATCACTAGGCTGAGTGACAGCTCCAGAGCCTGGTTACCACTGCAGCAACGAGGTTAGATACAATTAATACTGACAAACTAGTTCCTACACTAACACAGAAATGAAAGTGTGTTGTAAATGCTTGAGATTGTGTTACCTTGACACAGCCCAGTCGTCCTATCCTCAGCAGGGAAGCCGCCATCTTTCTGTTCAGCCTGCCTGGAATTCAGTAAATACACAATGACCAGTCAGTGCAACAATGACGACGTCGAAACATCCTGTGATTTTAATGACATCAGCATTGTGTTAGAAAACAGAGCCGCGGTAACGAGCTGAGATAAAATGTGTGCCCAGCCTCAGATAACCGCAGCCTGCAGAGAGTAACAGCAGACAGTGGCTGTTACCTTGAGATGAATGAATCTGTTGAGTGTGTGCTCCCCTCCGTTGGTCAGTGGTGTGGAAACAGCTCACAGCAGCACAGTAATGGCTCAGTCCCACTTCATCACCTTTTATGTAACACATAAATGTGACAAGCCCCGCCCCCTTCCTGTCTGCATGTGTTGTCCGTTATGAATCTGTGTGTTTTACAGCCTGTTATAATCATATATGTTGAGAATATTTTGCCATTTTATCCTGGTTGAACATGAGTGTGTGATAGTGTATCTACTGTGAATGACTGAACGCTCTACGGTCATTATATGGACATAACATGATGAGATTGAAGTGGTTTTGGCGCCATGTTTGTGTTATTAACTTTAAAACTTTATATTGAAGCTGCTCAGTAAGCTAACTGTGTGTATTTTAAATATCTAACCCCCTCTCATCGTCGTCGGGTGAACATCAACAACTTTGTGTACATTCTGTACTTTCTCGAGGGGGGCGTGTGGTTGGCGTAGTAGGTGACGTCACCAACGCGCGACAAAATATGTCTCTCCTTTCCGCGTGGGGGAATATCGTCGCGTGTTGCTGCTCACAACAGTCATGGCTACCGTCGGTTTCTGTGGAGACTGGTTCATTTTAACCTGCGACAAGAAGCTAGTAGCCGTTCACATCAAACAGAGCAGGTTTGATCTTTACAACAGTTTCCTCAGCTGTTCCTGAGTCATGTTAGCTTAGCTGCTAACAGTATTAGCTAGCTGTCAGTCTGACGTTAGCGCTGTGCTGAGATACGTCTGCGTTGATTTCCAGGTTTTTCTCATTTAGAAAACTGTAAGTCTGAAGAAGTGTGTGATCATCATCATCATTGATCTCATATTGATGCTGTCTCCATCAATCATCAACAAACTGATGTGGTTATAGTCAAAGGATAGAAAGAGGACTCCTGATGCCCTCCTGTGGCGAAACTTCTGTTACTAGATTTTAGTATCATTCAAAAAGAAATATGACTTGTGTTGAAATCTAGTGTGACATTTTGGAAGACTACTAAAACTTGGGTCTTGGCTGTACAATAACTTTGTCTAACAAAGTACAGAAGTCTAAAATATATCAAAATGATGTTGAAAATGAAGTTATTTAAATTCAATAGATAGACGACTGATCCCTGAAGATCTGCCTCTCTTCATTGAAAACAGCTGACAAGTTAGAGTCACATGTGGATTTAAATTCTTCATCAACTGAAGGGATGTCAGTGGGAATTTTATCAAGGAAGCTAGATTAATCTTTTTCATTACATTTTGAGTTATATAATTTTTTTCATAAAAAGCAGTAATAAAATCAGAAATTGACTGGATCTTCGAGACGAGCTCCACCAATATTAAGGACAGTTAATGATTTCCTTTTTAAAGTATGTTTTCTCTAGAGCAAAAAATTCATTTGTATTTCTTTTTTCCTTCCTCAAGTCACCTTGGCTCTAGAACGCTCCTTTTCCACAAATAGACAGATGTGATCCAGCTGTAGCTGCATGTCCTTCAATTCAGTTCTTCTTGCCTTTGTCAGTTGATGGTTAAGTTTGTGCATCAGGTCAGCTTCTTGAATATTTTATTCTCTCTTCAATTCCTTACTTTTGATAACATCATATCTTACCTGAGAGAGAGAGAATGAGAGAGAATGTGTAGCTCTGCTTGTCTAGATAAGTAACTGTTAATGAGTGTAGAAAGACATTATCAGAGTCAAGTCTTTTAGAGTAATGTCTCAGGAGTAGTAGCCTATTCTCTTTTCTCTTTCCTCATGTCATAGCTTCTGCAACAGTCTCAAACAGTTCCACTTGAAGAAGCCCCCCTGACAGATAAAGGACCCTGCCTGTGTAGATTCACACCAGTGTTTGTAGTTGGAGTTTTATATGATGTGATGTGTGATTGTGTTCTACTGATGAATTCAACATGACAAAATAATCCAGTGTTCAGAGTTAGTTTCTTTACACTGTTAACAAAAGCAGGAATTAAAATCCACACCAACAGGGACCTCAGTTGAAATAAGTTTTTATTTTCATACATGTTTGAAAGGTAAACTGAACTGTGCTCATGTCAAACTAGATGAATTGAAAGTAAAAAGTAGATGAAAGTGACATCATGCAGGAACTGATCCAGATTTAATACATCAGCTCTTCTTTGTTGCAGGGAAGCATTTGTGTTTGACTGCAGCACTGCTGAGAAGAAGCCCAAGAACACACAGGACAGCAACAGGTACAAACAAGCAGATGAGTCTGGGTTGTCAAGTAAGTGTGAGGTGTTCATGTTTTGCAAAGGAGGAGAAACATCCACAAAAAAGGAAACAAAGACAAAAAAAAGAACAATACGGACAAATACAGTTCCCTGTCTCCAGAATCAGAAACTACTTTGTTACAGTTGCACAATGCACAGTTGGGAAAGAAGTAGCAATAGGTAAAAACTATAAATACATATAATGCACATAAATACTAAATGCACAGGAAGCGAATGTGTCAGGTAGAAACTCCACACCTCTGTAACATCAGCATGCAGCAGGTCCAGGGTCTGGTTTCCTCTCATAGTCCAGTCCACAATGAATGAAAGTGGGCCGAATCTTGTTCAGTTGAAGACCACAGAGATCATGAAGAAAGCTCTGAGGAGCAGAATCTGAGTCTCACAGTAACAGAGTGGATGATGTCACACAAGGCTGCTTTTTAATGTAGTGAGAATTTAGCCCTACAGCTAATGGTTCAATGTCTGGGCTGCAAAAATGGTCCATCCTGTCTGTCCAAGCCGTCGATAAAAGTGATCTGTGCAACACACAACGCTACACTCACAAACATCCTTCTGATTCAACACTAGGTCCACTAGCTCCTCAATCTTATTGACCAGTGATTTCACATTAACCATGATGATAGAAGAGAGATACACTTCTCTCCCTCAGCCTTCATCATCACTCCATCCCTCATCGGCATCCTCTGTGTGTCCTCCTGATCTCTGCATGGATGTCTGCTGTTCTGGTCTCCATGCAATCAGCTGGTCCCTGGTGTAAACACTGGGGCTGTGGAGTTGTGTAGCTGAATGAAAGAAGTAATTCTACAGTGAAAAAAACAGACCAGACCTCTGTCTACTACCATGTTCAGAGAGGGTTCAGCTGTTACTACTAAAAATTTTAACAAGTATGACAAAAGATAAAAAGCTGTAACAGGAACACGACACATGCACACTCAAAACCAGGATAAGGAAACAAATCTAAGAACAGGAAGAATGAACAGAGTATAACTGGAATATGAAGATGTGTAACAGCTGTAGTCTCCTTTGTCAGCAGTGATGGCTGTGCCTCAGAGGAAACAGGAAGTGACAGAGTCCTTGCCTTCACTGTATCTCCCTCTGGGAAGCTGCTGGCACTGACTGATGACACCAAGAGGCTGGTTCTCTTTCACTGTGAGCCTTCATGGAAGTGCATCAGCATCAGGTACAACTAACAACTCTGTCCTCACAACGGCTTACTGCATTTTACACATGAGGAGGTATGTTAATAATGAGTGTGTGTGTGTGTGTGTGTTACAGGTGGGTGGTGAGGAGGTGCACTTCCCTGGTGTTCAGCCAGGCTGAGGATGAGCTGCTGGTGGCTGACAAGTCAGGAGACGTGTACTCCTTCTCAGTGGAGGAGCCGCAGAGGGAGGGCGAGCTGAAGATGGGTCACCTGTCCATGCTGCTGGCTGTAGTAGGAAACACCACACTGCATAAACAAAACTACCACAAATGTATTCAGACCACTGAGAATCAGTGTTAGTCAAATGTTCCACACTAAAATAGTCATATAGATTTATTTGGTCCACTTTTCTGATGTTTCCAAAGTTTTCAGCCACATCTTGTGTCCGTTCAGACAGGACAGAGTTCATGAAGGTTGTGTTTGAAACAAAGCATTTTATACGCCATGTTGTCTGACCACACCTGAAGAAGTGAGGTAGAGAGCCTGCTGTCATAGGCCCTTTTCTATGGTGACCCTGGGAGCTCAACACACTGCATCTCAAGAAATCACATGCAAATAGACAAAACACAAACAACTTCAGAAACATCTTCATCAGTAAGCATGTTGTATATTAGAGTCTTTATCACACGGTTTTATTGGGCTGACAGAAATGTCTCCTACAGCCTAATATCATCTGCACATGATCTGATGTCACCTTTAGCTGTACAGTATTTCTGTCACACCTGACCTGCAGAGAAACAGTTTAAAATCTGGTTAAAGAAAAAAACACCAGTAATGAAAGGATGTAATGTTTCCTCCTGTGGACCAGACTTCCCTCCCACTGGTTAACAGACTATGAAGGATACCCACGGTAACTTTTAGTTAACTGGTGAAACTGAACCTAACATTGTCCTGATCACCTGTCCTATGAAGCTGGTTATCTACTGGGTCAGTTAACTCTGGGTTTACCTGTCCAGGTACGAGCACATCATGAGAACGAGGCAGAGTCGTTAATTATAAGCAACATCGACAGAACCATGAATAAAGTAGTAATATGATATGAGCAGAGACACTGATACCTGCAGGTAAGTTCAGTTATAGTGACGTCTTAAAGTGAAATTCAACAAGGTGAAATGTAAACAATGTGATCACAATACTGGAATAAAAAAGAAACACTAGAAATAATTGTAATTATTAAAGTCAGACTAAGGATATATTGAAAATAACATGAATTATCATTAAGTTTCTCACTGAATATTTTGCTCTTCAGTCTGATGATGAACAAACTGTCATGAACATGTGAAGCAGATAAAAGTTAAAGTTAATGTCAGACTGTTTCTGCTGCAGAGAGAAAGAAAAGAGAGAAAGAAGAGGAGAGAAGTAGCTGATGTCAGTCTGACTGAAATGTTCATTTATAATGGTGGAAATATTGATCAGTGTGTGGATCATTGTTGGTTTAGTTTTTATTTCTCCTCATCCTTCTGAGCTGCAGTGATGAAGAAGAGAGTAAAAGCTTCATCACTGTCAGGAATCCTGTCGGATTAAACAATCTGTGTTCTGTTCAAATGAAGTTCCAATAGTTATTTTGTAGTTATTTAATGTGATAAACCCTCCTCTGTTTGTTAGCGGCTCTGTTTT